ACACCATCTACCAGAAGAAAACACACATAAACCGCTATCTGCATGCTCTCTCACACCACCACCCAGCACAGATCAACTCTGTAGCCAAGACAATCATCTCCAGAACAAAACGCTTAGCTGACGAACAACACCTAAAAACTGAACTACACACTCTCACCAATGTACTAACATCCAATGGATTCCAAAGAAATAAGATTACAAACCTAATCCAAACAGAAACCCCCACTAAAATCCAAGAGAAAGAACAAGAAAACAGCAAAGCCCTCCTCCCATACATAAAAGGCACCACAGACAGAATCAGTAAGATCCTCCATAAACACAACATCAAAACAGCATTCTGCACAAACAGAAAAATATCCACCATCCTTAGAAACCCCAAAGATAAAATTGAATTAAAAATCAAGGAGTATACGAAATCCCATGCACCACTTGTCCCAACACATACATCGGACAAACCAACAGAAGAGTAAGTGCACGCATTGAAGAACATAAGCACTCAGTGAAAAAAGAGGAACCAACATCTTCCCTGGTCCAACACTTTAAAGCCACAGGACATGAAATTGACTTTAAAAATACCAGAACCATTGCCAAAAGTGAACATTTTAATAACAGAATAATCAGAGAAGCCATCGAGATAGAAAAACGCCCACACAGCATGAACAAACGAGATGATACCTCCCGCCTACCAGCCATTTGGAAACCCGCCCTTATTGACAAACGACTCCCTAACACAAAAAATGACACCAGACCCACACTCACAAAACCACACAGGATGTCACCACCACACATCCACGCAAAAAGCGAACCCAAAGCCACACTGATGATGAGGCACGACCACAAACCAGAAGCCAGACCACAGCTGCATCATTAGCCACTTTAAACCCCTCCAATCCATACATGAAGCAAACTGACACCCTCCATGAAGATGAGGCACGATCACGAATGCGAAGCCAAAAAATAGCAAGGCAGCCCAAAATCTTAAACCCCCCTGCAACTCAGACTAACCTGAGCACAACCAAACAGAACACTCCCCCAGCCAATCAGAGCACAACCAACCCCCCAGCCAATCAGAGCACAGCCACGCCCCTAACCAATCAGAACACACCTCCACCCAATCAGAACACAGCCAAGCTCCCACCCAATCAGTTCATACCCCCACTGGCAGTTAAAAAGAAGAAACAGCTAAGACCACACATTGCTGCTCGAAGCACGAAGCTGAAAACACCAGCCTGAAGATGACGAATGGGACTTCGTCGAAACGTCGCCAAGACACTTCCAATTTTACGCGGGAGAAAACCCGAACAACCAAAGACCTACATACAAACACCCGCGAAAACCTCAGAAAACATATATATATATATATGAGTAGGCAATTGGATCAGCAATTGGATCAGCAAGGGGATAAAAAGAACTTCCCACCCCCTAAGCCCCACTCTGAGGACGCTGGCAGAGGACCAGCGAAAGCTAAGTTGTTTTAATTTTTGTATATAACTGTTTTTATTGTTTTAAATGTGGTTTTAACAATAAATAACTGGAGTATACTCTTCCCGGAGATCGAAGATTGCATCATTGAACATATATGCATATATATATATATATATATATATATATATATATATATATATATATATATATATATATATATATATATATATTGCAAAAAGGAAATAAGAAAGGCATAATATAATTCCTCTTAATATTTTGTACTCAAAAGAGAAAAGTATAAATAGTTCTATTTTAATTAAGAGTTTTGTGGGATGCTTGATGCTCTTCAAACTTGGTTGCTTTCTTGCAGATGTTTCATTACCAAACTGAGTAAAATCATCAGTGCTAGAAAGGAATGGGGTGTGCTTTCAGTTTATGTACTTGTGGCTGCCCTCTTAGTGCTAGTGGAAGTGTTCTTGGTGGTTCCTTGATTAGACTGTTGTTTACTGTTAGCTTGTTTGTCAGAGTTGGCAGTTCCTTGATTGGGATATTGGGATAAACATCTCCTCTCCAGCAAATAACACCCAGATAAGCAGAATTTAACACCAAAGTTAATACTAGACCCACAATCAAGGTGTAAACAATATTTCAATCAAGAAATTACCAGTAAAGAACATGAACAACAATGAAAGAGATTTCATGAAGAAACATACAGTGCTGAAAAAAAATCTATTGAATAGCGCATTTTTGTTTCTTCCCTTTTGACTATTCTGCTAAACAAACTTCAGTTCCTAATTCCTAATTAGTTCCTAATTTCACCCTAATTTTATTTTATTTTATTTTATTATGCATACACACACAGATACGTATATACACACATTGTTGTGTTCAATGCTTCATTGTGGTATATAGAATAGTTTATAAATAAATAGTGATTCATCTACATGGTGAACATTAATAGCAACCTTCCAATCACAGAAATATGGAGTCAATAATATGCTCTGAAATTGTCTGTTTTTACAATCTGGTTCTTTCCATATCTATTAGTCTATAGTTGAACTAATCTTCAGATAGTGTAATGTCAAAGGCTGTTAGGAATGGTAGTGACTGGACAAGATCAGATTGGAGAAGACTACTGCATGGTAATTTTATTTGTTAAAATGGAAAACATGGGCCATCAAAAGTTTCTAATAACTTTTAACATTTGCTTGATAGAATTCATGAAAGCTGAAATTCAATGAAATTGAATGAAAGATACATACACAACCTTGACAGAGTTTGAGGATTCTCCCTTTGCAATTAGCCATTTGTTCTATATTGTTCACATTTATTCAGTAAAAGCAAAGTTACTAAGAAGGGAGCCCAGAATGCTGTATTCTCCTTTGGTTTTGCTATAGCTATTATAATCTTGTAACAGAAGAGCCATAACAGTTTCACAACAGCATTACTTGAATAGATTTATTCTATGTAGAAGTATTGCTTCTTTTAATGTTTATGAGTCATTAAATAGAGCTGGCTACTATTGAAATCAATGCAATATAACATTATACAATAACACAAAGAAAAAGAGTTACATAAAAAGGGTTACATATTTTTTTTTCAAAAAACATGCATGATTAATATGTTCAGTAGTGAAGTTTTTCCAATTGTGCAATTAGTACTTTTACATTTATTTATTGCAAGATTTATAAGGCTACCCAATTCCAACTGTGTGATTGTGGGACAAGATAATTAAATATTCACCAAATGATGAAAGTGACCAACCAAAGCAGGAATTTCCTTAGTTGTGGGTATTATTACAGTAATTCAAATTTCTTATAGTTGTCTAACTTCCAATGGATTCTCTCATCAAAATTGTTTTGTGCTGTCTGCTTTGTATACTCATAAAAGTAATCTAAGAAGTTAAGAAATTATTTACATGTTTAATTTGCATCGTGTTGGATCTAGGTTTACTGGTGCTTAAAATTAATATCACTGAAATAGTAGGTATTGTTTTTTATTTGATGGTTTGCCTGGTGTTAATCCCTGCTCATCTGGGTGTAAAGTTGCTGGAGAGGGAGTGTTCTGATCTTTTTGTTTCCCTCTTGGCTTTTTTTATTGTCTCTTTTGAATGGTATGTAAATATGGTTTATCTTCTATGTGCCGATTAATATCTAATTTGGTTAAATATCAAGCTTCTAGAAATTCCCTATCATTTTTTAATTTGTTTCGGCCTAGGATGCTTATTGGGGGGAGGCACAATGGTTAAAGATACTGAGCTTATCAGCTGGAAAGCTGACTGCCCAGAGTTGAGACTCAAGTGCTGCGCGACAGGGTGAGTTCTCATTACTTGCCTCAGCTTCTGCCAATCTAGCAGTTCAAAAGCATGCAAATACAAGTAGATTAATAGGTACCATTTCAGTGGGAAGATAACAGCATTTTATGCACTTCAACATATAGTCATGCTGGATACAGGACAATACCAGCCCCCTTGGCTAAGAAAAGGAGATGAGCACTGCCCCCTAGAGTCAGACACAACTGGACAGAGCAAACTTTTACTTTTCTTTAAGATGCTACTGTAGTTGAATCTGTCCAGGTGTTGTGAGATTAAGGAATTTTCATCACCAAAACTGGCTACTATCTATAAATGGGAGCAAGCTCCACACTCACACAGATGATGTTACCTAATTCAGTAATGAAATGTCTACAGGCAAACAACCAAGTTCAGAAAGCATCAAGTACTCCATACATCTAACTAAGGATTTGGAAGTGGGTATTGTCTGGCACAATATATAAACCATAAAGGAAAGATCTCCCCTCTCCTCAGCCTTCTGTAGCTGTTTAAAGTAATTTCAAAACCTTTTACACATTACAAATATAGCACAAACAATTATTGGAAGTTCACCTCCTTCTATCCAGAACATAGCATATAAGTGATGCTTGAGCAGAGTCCGCAGTATTGTCTGGGATGCTACACAGGAGGCTTTGTATCCGAAGCAGAACATCCAGATTCAGTCACAGTTTTGTTCCACGTAGCATCAACCTTGTAAACTCTCAAGTTTCCTCTTTCCGCTATGTATTCAAAATGGACAGTGATTAACTGAGCCGAGGTGGCGCAGCAGTTAGGGTGCAGTACTGCAGGCCACTTTAGCTGACTGTGTTCAGCAGGTCAGCGGTTCAAATCTCACCGGCTCAAGGTTGACTCAGCCTTCCATCCTTCCAGGGTAGGTAAAATGAGGACCCAGATTGTTGGGGGCAATGTAAATATATATATACATTGCTTACTGGTGTACACCGCTTAGAGAGTGCTTGCGCTTAAAGTGGTATATAAGTCTCATAAATAAATAAATAAATATGTATATGTATATATGTATGTGTATATATATATATATATATATATATATATATATATATATATAGGGGTAGGTGTGTGTGTGTGTGTAGCATGTGTATATGTGTGTTAAGTATGTGTATGGGTAGATATATACTTTGTTTTGAGAGCAGGCAACAGAGAGTTCATTTTTAATGTGGGTCAGTGTGCTCATAGTAAAATTGACAATAAAGGTCAATCTCTTATACTGTGTTTCTTAATATAGTTTGTTGCAGTGCTAGAAGGTGTGCTCTCTAAATTATCAAGGTATGATGAAGGCACTTTCTTCTCATCAATTCTTTCATTCACTGTAAGTACAACTATTGATTAACGATTTGAAAAATCCATTAATAGCTGTAATACCAAGTGATATTTATTTTCTACTTTTACATTTTCTAAAGGTAAAAGCAGCTGCAAAATATGTTGATGTTCCTGTAAGTATTTTTCTTTTAAATATGAATGCAATAAATTGCTTTCTACTCTGTGTACTTTTTCATGTATTATCATTGCATTTTCTTTTAAAGGTTGATTATAGTTACACATCATGTATTTAAGCAGATCACTCTTGCCCCTAGAGGGCATTTCATTTCCCTTAAGCTACTACGAAGTCTCAAAGCAAAGCTTTGAAATTCAGATTACTCTCAGTGTACTTTTTCAGTTGTGCAGGAGTGAGGATTGTAACCTAGAAACTGTGTCATGGGGGGAAATTTGTCATTTGGGCGTAATTGTTCCTAGGTTTAGCTCACTAGAGTTTTTATGAAAGTGAACAGTTTATAATTATATTCTATGTCCATGAATATCTGTGTGTGTGTGTGTGTGTGTGTGTTTGTGTGTGTACACACACACACACAGTGCTTTTTTTGTGAAAAAAAAAAAGGTGCCGCAACTCACACACATCATACAACCTGCCTGGCCTATCCTACAAGGTTCCATCCAAAAAAGGTGCCGGAACTCCGTTCTGGGCGTTCTATGACAAAAAATTTTTAGGTATCCCTGTTGCATTAAATGAGCATACTGTATGAAGTTCTCCAAGTGTAGAGCTCATATTTTTCAAGCACTAAAAATATCAAGATGTATATATCCTGTTCCAAATAGATATTTCTTTTCAATTTGTAGTCATACTCTTTTTTTTATGTTGTATTTTACAATATCAAGAATAAACTATGAATGACACAGTATAAAAAGAATTTGTAGAAAGTTTTTCTGAATTTACCTACCTTTTTCCCTTGCCTAAACCTCTTTTGGACAATTCTGGGACTTACTGTTATTAAACTCAGTGTTATGTAGCCAAATACATAAACTAGAAGGGCTTCAAATTAGGAAAATGTCATTTTTATATTATAAAACATATTTATACAATTTTAAATAGTAAAGCTTTTTTCCTACCTCTAGGTTGAACTATTATTTGCAAACCTGTGTTTCCTGTTTTCTGACCCAGCTTTTCTTTTTCTAGTCCTGTTTTATTTCAAGTTCCAATTCATAGAGTCGAAGTTCTGGGTACATTAGATATTGTAAGATGCCATTTTGAAAACTTTTTTTTATCAATGATGGTATGCCATTTTGTCAAACTCCATGTTCAATCATGCAGATCAATCTATTGTTTCTTCAGTGTAAAACTATGTTGGCCTCATTGTTATTTTGAGATGGTACAATCAGTCCTTTTAGGATATCAAGCTCTGTGGCCCATGGCACTGGCCACCTCTTCAAATGGATCAGATATATGTTGAACAAAATCTCAGGCTGGAGTCAAAGGTCAGAGTAGCTCCATGATCAAAGCTGGTAGAAGTCAAGCTTTAGGTTTGCATTGAAAGTAAAGGCAGCTGAAAGCAACTATATGTTGTTCTTAGCATTTGTTCTGCTTAGTTACAAGATCCACCTGTTTTATACTGCGCTTACTTTCACCCTGATAACAGTTAGGGCTGGAAGGAATGACTGGTCCAAGGTTACCCAGTTGGCTTCCATGCCTAAGAGGAAATTAGAATCTGCATCTCCTTGTTCATTGTCTAGTACCAAAAACACTACACAACATTTGCTTTCTGAAAGCAGCAACATCAAGTGTGGTGAGGGGAAGCGGAGTCCAAGATCTAGGTCACTTTCCAAGAAAAGGAAGCAGGAATTTGTTTCTCCTGGAAATGGGGCGGGGGGGGTCATAAAAAGTTTGCTTATCGGCTTTCTTTGATAAGGGTTGGTACACTATGACCTGCACTGGATGTTTATGTTGTTGTTGTTATTAGCTGCGAAGTCATGTCCAACCCATCGTGACCCCATGGACAATGTTCCTCCAGGCCTTCCTGTCCTCTACCATCTTCTGGAGTCCATTTAAGCTCACACCTACTGCTTCAGTGACTCCATCCAGCCACCTCATTCTCTGTCGTCCCCTTCTTTTATTGCCCTCAATTTTTCCCAGCATCAGGCTCTTCTCCAGTGAGTCCTTCCTTCTCATTAGGTAGCCAAAGTACTTGAGTTTCAACTTCAGGATCTGGCCTTCTAAAAAGCAGTCAAGGTTGATCTCCTCTAGGATTGACTGGTTTGGTTGCCTTGCAGCCCAGGGGACTCGCAGGAGTCTTCTCCAGCACCATAGTTCAAAGGCCTCGATTCTTTTGCGCTCAGCCTTTCTTATGGTCCAACTTTCACAGCCATACATTGCAACTGGGAAAACCATGGCCTTGACTATACATACTTTTGTTGGTAGGGTGATTTTCTGCTTTTTAGTATGCTGTAGCAAGTTATTAACTGTGTCTCCTGATCCTAGCTTAAAACCTTAACTACTACATTGTATTGCCCAGCTATGATATAATTAGTTAGGATATAACAATGATTCTACAATGCTTCAGAATTTCAGGGACATTCTACTCCACTGCTTTATATATACAGGGTCCAGAAAAGAGCAGTCCTTAAGTATCACTTGTATCAAATTCTTCTTTGTGGGCATTGGGAAATTAAAAGCAGCAAATAATAGTTACATGAGGAAAGAGGAAAAAATATTCTCTGCAAAATATATTGCAGAGAAATGCAGCAATGGATCAAATGAAGAGAGAATTTGAAAAAACCTATGTATATAGTACTTCACAATTCAGATTGGATTGAGGGGTACTTGGTGCTCTCTGAGCTTGGTTGTTTTCTTGCAGATGTTTCATTACCAAAAGTAGGTAACATCATGTGCTAGTAAGATATGCGATTTGCTCTCAATTTATATTCTAGTGATTTACCCTGTCAGTGTTGGTGGGAGTGGTCTTAAGGTTCTTTGGTTGGGCTGTTTACTGTTAACTTGTTTGGCAGTTCCTTGAGTGGGGTATTGTTTATTTGGTTGTTGGTCTGATGTCAATCTTGGTGGTTAATCCGTGCTAACCTGGATGTTGATTGCTGATGGGAAAGTGTTTTGATCTTTTTGTTTCCTTTTTGGTTTGGGTGTCTCTTTTGAATAATATGTAGATGTTATTTATGTCTATGTCTATTGATGACAGTTTTATACTCTGTAGCTCAGCTATCAGATTCTGTAAAGAGTTCATACATCATTTCGTCACAGTCATGTGCACACACATGAATGTGATCTTTTTATGTTGGGTCATGTGGTCATATTATGTAAGGTCAGTGCAAATATGCTGTATATGGTTGGGATCCAACAATTCTTTTTGAATAAGAAGTTGCCCTAATCAGGATTTGAACAGCATCAGTGGAAAAGGATAGACAACCATTTCTTGTCACTCTAGTAAGTGCATATTTTTAACTTTTGTGTTTAAGAATACAATTTACAATATTAATTTGGAGCAAAGCATTAATATATTTTCCAAATCAGTCCTTAATTAACTATTTTAATTTGTCTTTTTTAAAACATAGTTTAGCAAATAATACTCTTCATGACTTACTGTTTCATCAAAACTGTACATATTTATTTAACATTTATTTATTGACATTTAGGCTTATCTTGGAGGCAATCAATAGGCATTCATTTATGTTGAGAGTAGCATCTATATCCATTTCTGTCTTAATAGCACTCCTGTCAGTTTTCTCATAAAGGACTAGTAATAGTTTGTTCGCTCTGTGGGGATGTAGGAATTATTAACTTGATACGCATCCAGAAATTTGTAACTTTCTTTTGGAGATTTAATTCTCCTGGATTATGGCTAGATTGTAAATGAACATAAATGAACAGGAATGATTGATGCTTCTGTCTGTGTCTTGATCTTACTGTGAAATAATCATTTCTGTTCACTGTCTTGCAGAATTGCACTGACTCTTTGGCTCATTGAGAAAATGAAATAAGTAGGTTTATTATATAAATTTCATACCAACAATGCTAAGTTTGGGACATAATTTTGGCAATCAGAGCAGAGAAACTCTCTTATTTTTCACCTTCAAAAGGGTCTTAGAACTTCCGAGGCCTGCTATGGCAAGTTTGTACATAATATGAAAACATCTGAGAGAACAGTTTCAATTATTGTCACCTGAGAATCTGGATATTTAGAAACTGCTTGTTCAATGATCTGTTTCCTTGACTTTTATCTATTATACCTTTTATCTAATCTCAAGGTCTGTACCATGTCAATTATTTCTTGCATACTTAAGCAAGTTGATAAACAAGTTTGGGACGTCCTTTTCAAGAAAGCCAATAATTTAAGGATTTTTCTTGAATACCACCTTTTATGGTATAAAAGCATTACTGAATGTTCTAAAATAATAAATCAATCCACAAAATAAATGCATTGAGCTTGTGATAAGTTTTACATATCTTTCCTAGCCTTTCTTTTCCTCTTATTTCTTTATCAAAGACACAGCATAGCCCTAATAGAAAAATGGGTTTCTAATCTGGAACAGATGCAAGTCATGATTTTTATTTCTTTATAAACAAGGAATATTGTTAGATTTCATGAAAATAGAAGAAATTTTAGGTGCTATCTATTTAATTGAAAATGCAAATTCTTTTTATTTTGTCTCCCTAGTGAATGCAAGTTACTGTCTATGTGTATGTATGTATCTACGTATGTGTATGTTAAACAAAGAACTAAAATGTCTTGAAAGTTTTAAGAGGAGGAAAAATGGTCTGAAGAGAAAACAAAATCAAGAAAACCTGTATTATATTTCTTTTTTAAAAAAGATTTTTATTGATTTTTTTCATACATTCAATAGCATTTGTTCAATAAACGTGCTGTCTGAGTTTACATTCACTAGTACATATTTAATTCCTAATCTTTTATTCTTTCTTCTAGCCATCGATAAAATAAGTCCCAAGTTTGATAATATTTCATTTTTTCTTTTTCTTTCAGCCTAAGAGTCAATCTATCCATCTCTGCACATTCTAGTATATTTTTAATTATTTCTTCATCTGATGGTATTTCTTCATTTTTCCAATACTGCGCGAATATAATTCATGCCGCTGTTGTAACATGCAGAATCAAATATATGCTTTGTTTATCAGTCCTTTCTGGCATTATAC